ACAGGACGGTAGTACCTCCCTGGGCAGGACGGTAGTACCTCCCTGGGCAGGACGGTAGTACCTCCCTGGGCAGGACGGTAGTACCTCCCTGGCAGGACGGTAAATTACCTCCCGGGCAGGAACGGTAGTCCTCGCCAGGCAGTACGGTAGTAACCTCCGCTGGCAGGACGGTAGTACCTCCCTAGGCAGGACAGTAGTACCTCCCTGGGCAGGACGGTAGTACCTCCCTGGGCAGGACGGTAGTACCTCCCTGGGCAGGATGGTAGTACCCATCCCTGGCAGGACGGTCAGTACCACCTAGGCAGGACAGTAGTACATGTTTCCCTTAGCAGATGGTAGTACCTCCCTGGGCAGGACGGTAGTACCTCCCTGGGCAGGACGGTAGTACCTCCCTGGGCGGTTGCTGTCTACCAACCTACTACCTAGAACTTACTTAATATATGTACATAAAATTCAATCATACTATTGTGCATAATACATATACAGGACATTCAATTTTAATACCAATCCTGCCCTTAAACTCGTTTTTGAAAGTTGCACAAGAACTCATAGACATTATACTAGGCACAAAAATCTCTACGATATGCCTAGTGTCCAACTCAAACAGTGTAAAAACTCTAAGTCTCTCCCTGAAGATTGCAGTCTCTCTCTTTCTCTCTCCCTGAAGATTGCAGTCTCTCTCTTTCTCTCTCCCTGAAGATTGCAGTCTCTCTCTTTCTCTCTCCCTGAAGATTGCAGTCTCTCTCCCTGAAGATTGCAGTCTCTATCTTTCTCTCTCCCTGAAGATTGCAGTCTCTCTCTTTCTCTCTCCCTGAAGATTGCAGTCTCTCTCTCTCTCTCCTCCTGAAGATTGATGTCTAGCTCTCTTTTCTCTCCCTGAAGATTGCAGTCTCTCTCTCTCCCTGAAGATTGCAGTCTCTCTCTCTCTCTCCCTGAAGATTGCAGTCTCTCTCTTTCTCTCTCCACCTGCCACCTACTTCATGTAATCCTAACAATTTATCATCCTGACAACAATCATGCTGAACAACGCCTGAGACCCTGAAATCTGTCTTTCATCCAGTAATGTCACTGTTCTTGTTCCATCAACCTTCAACTCATATACCCAGTTAGCTTCAGCCTTAATTATCACTAAATATAATTTTTCATCAATTACTGATTTTTTTCTTCAACACCGGCCGTCTCCCACCTAGGCAGGGTCACTTAAAAAAGTAAAAATTAAGTTTTTCTTTTTATATTTAGTAATGTATACATGACAAGGGGTTACTAGCTCCTTGCTCCCAGCATTTTAGTCGCCTCTTACAACATGGATGACTTATGGAGGAAGGATTCTTTTCCACTTCACCATAGATATGAATTACTAAATCCTTCCAATATATCATAAACTAAATACGCATTCTTATTCTCATATACTAGTAGTCATATTATTATTATATTATTATTATAATAAAAAAAAAAACGCTAAGCCACAAGGGCTAACTAGTAATCATAATTTAGTTTAAAGGCTGCCCAAAATATCTTGCATAATAAGGGGCTTTCTAGAGTAATTTATATATGTTAATTACCCTAATTGTATAATATACTGTACTCGGCTTTATAAAAATAAAGTTTCTTTTGTTTTCTTTGTTTATTACATGTATGGTCGGAGTCACTTTATTACATGTATGGTCGGAGGCACTTTATTACATGTATGGTCGGAGGCACTTTATTACATGTATGGTCGGAGGCACTTTATTACATGTATGATCGGAGGCACTTTATTACAAGTATGGTCGGAGGCACTTTATTACATGTATGGTCGGAGTCACTTTATTACATGTATGGTCAGAGTCACTTTATTACATGTATGGTCGGAGGCACTTTATTACATGTATGGTCAGAGTCACTTTATTATGTATGTTCGGAGGCACTTAATACATGTATGTCAGAGGCACTTTTTTACATGTATGGTCGGAGGCACTTTATTACATGTATGGTCGGAGTCACTTTATTACATGTATGGTCAAAGTCACTTTATTACATGTATGGTCAGAGTCACTTTATTACATGTATGGTCAGAGTCACTTTATTACATGTATGGTCGGAGGCACTTTATTACATGGTATGGTCGGAGGGCACTTAATTACATGTATGTCAGAAGGGCCAATAAAACATTATACATTATGGTCATAGTCCACTATATTACATGTATGGTCAGAGTCACTTTATTACATGTTGGTTGAAGGCACTTTATTCATGTATGGTCAGTGCACTTTATTACAGATGGTCAGAGTCCACTTATTACATTAATGGTCAGAGTCACTTTATTACATGTATGGTCGGAGGCACTTTATTACATGTATGGTCGGAGGCACTTTATTACATGTATGGTCAGAGTCACTTTATTACATGTATGGTCAGAGTCACTTTATTACATGTATGGTCGGAGGCACTTTATTACATGTTGGTTTACGGGGGGGGAGGCACTTTATACATGTATGGTCAGTCACTTTATTACATGTATGGTCGGAGGCACTTTATTACATGTATGGTCGGAGGCACTTTATTACATGTATGGTCGGAGTCACTTTATTACATGTATGGTCGGAGGCACTTTATTACATGTATGGTCGGAGTCACTTATTACTTTTATGGTCAGAGGCACCTTTTATTACAGATGTATGGTCGGAGGCACTTTATTACATGTATGGTCAGAGTCACTTTATTACATGTATGGTCGGAGGCACTTTATTACATGTATGGTCAGAGTCACTTTATTACATGTATGGTCAGAGTCACTTTATTACATGTATGGTCGGAGGCACTTTATTACATGTATGGTCGGAGGCACTTTATTACATGTATGGTCAGAGTCACTTTATTACATGTATGGTCCGAGTCACTTTATTACAAGTATGGTCGAGCACTTTATTACACATTATGGTCCCGGAGCAACTTTATTACATGTATGTCAGAGGCACTTTAATTACATGTTATGGTCAGAGTCACTTTATTACATGTATGGTCCGAGTCACTTTATTACATGTATGGTCGGAGGCACTTTATTACATGTATGGTCAGAGTCACTTTATTACATGTATGGTCGGAGTCACTTTATTACATGTATGGTCGGAGGCACTTTATTACATGTATGGTCAGAGGCACTTTATTACATGTATGGTCAGAGTCACTTTATTACATGTATGGTCGGAGGCACTTTCAATATTTTATTTTGGGTCCACATCTATTCCTTTTAAAAAATCCCAGCCCAGTCCTTATCATAGTCTAACTCCAACAGACAGGCTTAAGGAAGAGGTCCTCGATGCAAATGAAAAGCTCTTGATCCAAGGGGAAAAAAAAAAACCTCTTATTCCTTTATCAAACTAACTGCCTTTTCCCAAAGTTCAAGGACATTTCCCCCCCTTTTGCTGTTTCCCCCCATGAATAAAATAATATAATAAAAAAATAAAAGCAATTAAAAAACCTTGTTATAGGTTTGGGTTCTATTAAATCTTGAAAATTTTAAGGAGTGATAGGGGCAAGGGGGTTTTATGATTAACTGCTGTTGGGGGTGTAAAATGAATTTATTTTGGGGTCAGGGGGTGGTTAGAAAACCCCAAGTTTGGGGAAAAGAAAGTACAGTAACCCTCTGAAGGAGGGGGGGCATTTTCATTTGTAGGTTTTTCTGAACCTCGTATTTAAAACCCAGAGAGGTTTCGGGGTCAATACCCCCCCCCGCCTGGTCTGAGACCAGGCCTTGGATGGATCAGGGGTGATCAACCAGGGTTTCTGCTGGGGAAGACGCCCGAATATAATTTTTTTATAAGGATGGTAGTACCTGGGGGCGAAACAATCAGGGTTTTAAACCAAGGAAAAGGGGTCCAAACTCTTTAGCCCCAAAAATCTTCACCAGTTACATGGGGTCATGGGGGCTTCAAAACCAATTTGATTTTTTTACGGGTTTTAATGTTTTGATGGAAGTGATAACTTTTATATTATTACAGACAATGCTAAACTGCATAATGCAAAGCTCAAAAAGCTCTGGCTGCAACTACCCAAGAAAAAGCCTTTTCGGGTGAAGGTCAAATTTAAAGAGTCCCATTGCCAAACTTTTGTGGAAAGTGCTAACCCAAGGAACCATACAGACCGGAGAAAGGGCGCAATAAGGGTTTTAATCAAGGAGTTTGAATAAGGGCTTGAACAAGGGGGCTTAAACAAGAGCTTGAATCAAGGCTCTTTATTACCAAGGCCCCCCTTTTGAATGGGACACGATTTTTAAATGGCTAAAAATTGATAGATTTCATCAAGAGGCACTAAACCACAGAGTAATACGCGTGAGACATGTGAGATAACTGGTTAATCTAGGAGAGGGGAGCTCTAAAATTTCCCTTTCATCAAGACCCTTCACCAGCATCAAGAGGGGTCCTTTAAGGGTTAACAACAAAGCAACACAAGGGGCACAAACCCACAAACACTTCTAATTTGTAACCAATTTTTTTTTTTTTTCAAGTTTGGGCACAAAAGGGCAAATCAACATTATCAAAATTTATTTGTAAAAAGAAAAAAAAAAGAAAAAAAAAAAAAGAAAGAAAAAAAAAAGAGGTATTGGACAGTATGGGCATAATGTGTATAACATATTAGGAAAGTTCGTATTATTATTGGTACACTTATAAAGCTCTCCGTTGTGTGAGCTTTAGCAACTGCAATTGAAACAAGGCATTTAAAAATTGAACTGCATGTTCCATGAAGGCCTTTACATGTGCTATTCAATAATGAACTTGCATTTTCACTGAAAAAAAAAAAAAAAAAAAAAAAAAAAAAACAGCCTCTCCTTAGCAATGTGCTCATTTACCAACGCCTCGGACTTACGACAAGCTCTCTGACCAGTATTCATATCTAAATAATGTAGTATATTAAGAGCTGATTTCCTCTATTCTCTTTATTACAGTATACAGTACACTACTGTATAAATAATTAAAAATATACCAGAAATGTTATAAATGGTGCAAAGGTGACATTAAAACAATATCAAAGATGGTTGACACAAACCCACTACCATTATGGTATGCTCCTTGTTTAGCGACGAATTTGTTTACCGATGTGGTCTTAGGAATGGAACTCCGTAGTTAAGTGAGGAGATGCTATATACTAGCAACAGGCCTGGTCACGGCCCAGGCTGCAGGGGCGTTGACCCCAAAACTCTTTCCAGGTACAAGAGCGCTGACTGTATTAAATATATAGGAGAAGATGGAGAAGAATACTAGGAAGATACAGTGGAACCTCAGAAATCGAAATGCTCCCAACTCAACCAATTATGTAAGTGTATTTTTGTAAGTGCTTTTATAAGTGTATTTTTGAGGGTCTGAAATGGACTAATCTAATTTACATTATTCCTGATGAGAATAAATTTGTTTGGTAGCGGCACTTGAACAGCCTTCTGGACCGAAGAAAGTTCGATATTTGAGGTTCCACTGTACATAAATCTGAAGGGAAGACTGGCTGGAGTCATCCCAGGAAGGCTAGGTAAGGTTTGTCAAGAAACAGAACGAGTGTTTCCTGACGTGGGTCTCAGTCATATGATGACCTACAGCTGGAGCTTTGGGTCATCTGATCAAGGCTTTCCACTGTTATGAGTGCAGTTAGTGCACAGGGAGAGTGGTTAGCCAGACTTGAATCCTAGAGTTGGGAAGTACAGAACCTGCATTTTAACCCTTTGAGGGTTTCGGACGTACTAGTACGGCTTACGACCCAGGGTTTTTGACGTACTAGTATGCCTAAATTCTAACGCCCTCAAATCTAGTGGGAGAAAGCTGGTAGGCCTCCATATGAAAGAATGGGTCTATGTGGTCAGTGTGCATGGTATAAAAAAAATCCTGCAGCACACAGTGCATAATGAGAAAAAAAAACTTTAACCGTTTTTTTGGAATAAAACAGCGACTTTGCACTGTATTTTCATATGGTATTTATTGTTGTATTCTAGTTTTCTTGGTCTCATTTTATAGAATGGAAGACATATTACAGAAATTGAGATGATTTTGACTGGTTTTACAATGAAAAGTACCTTGAAATTGAGCTCAAAGTAGCAGAAATGTTCGATTTTTACCAAAGTTCAAAAGTAAACAAATCATGCCAAGCGTCCAATACACGTCAACTGGTGAGTCTAATATTCTTTCACAAGTGCGCTGATATTATTTATACCATTTTTTACACTAATACAGTAGTCTGCATAACAGTAAATCTTCTATTTTTTGTGAGAATAAAAATTCAAAGTGGAAAGCAAAAGAATGTAAGTGGGGTCCTGAGACGTGACTAATGGAAATGTCATTTTAGTGCCAGGAATACATTTCTTGTTTGTTCTGGACCCTATTCGGAAATTGGCATCTTTTGAAATTTGTGTGAAATTGTCAAAATTGCTAAATTCTGACCACTGCACTGGATAGTTGAAATTGGTAAATGGGTGGTTTCTTGCACTCATTCAATAGAAAAAATGGAGTTCTAGCGAAATATTAATGTTTTTTGTCGACTAGTACAGTGGAACTGGCCGAAAATGGGGCTCAAAGTGGGCAAAATCGCCGATCCGTACACATCGCCGAGACCGCTAACTTCGCGAGAGCATAATTCCGTAAGTTTTCCATCAAATTTCATATTTTTGGTGTCATTATGATCGGGAAACGATTCTCTATCTTTTCATAAGAAAAAATTATTATTTTTTTTTTTAAATTTGGCCAACCCTGAGAACGAGTCTCGGAGAGGGCCTGTCGACCCTCAAAGGGTTAAAGGACGGGTGATGTTAGTGTTCAGAGGTTTATGTGAACTGTGATATCAGCACACTTCTGACAACACAGTGATTGAATGAATGACAGTGAATGTGTTTCCTTTTTTTTTTTTTTTTTTTTTTGGCTAACCATACATCAATGCAGCAACTAAATTACTAGTGAATATTTCAACTTTTTTGGGTCACCCTACATCAATGGGAAATGGCTGGTGCATTAAAAAAAAAATTACCTGGTGAAGTAGATGAGAGAAGAATTTAAAAAAAAAAAAAAACATACCTAAATCTAGTTCAGTATTCTCAAGTTAAAAAATAGTCAAAATAACTTTAAATTTGTGTGAGAGTATTAGTATCTTAAATATGGAAAAGCACTGGAAAGCACTAAACTCATAAGGGTCATACAACACCTAATCAGAAGAACAATAGGGTAGCTCTGATTCCATGAATCAAGAGCCCATCAGCATTAAGGTACTTCAAAGGTCATTAAAATTGCACTGATATATATTTTACCACAAAACTGTTACTATTATACTTAGTGGGAAGTGCTAAACCTGAAGGGGTCATATGCCAGAGGGGTATGTGAGGCAGTCAGGTTCAACCCAAAGAAGAGAAGGTCAGGTATAATTCCTTGGATCAAGAGCCCTTCACCTACATCAAGGGTACAGTGAAGACAACAATGAAATATGAATTTTGAAATAAAGTAGGCCTAACAGTAATAAAATAGGCCTAACAGTAATAATATAGACCTAATAAAATAGGCCTAACAGTAATAATATAGACCTAATAAAATAGGCCTAACAGTAATAATACAGACCTAATAAAATAGGCCTAACAGTAATAAAATAGGCCTAACAGTAATAATACAGACCTAATAAAATAGGCCTAACAATAATAAAATAGGCCTAACAGTAATAAAGCCGACTTTAAACTTCATTATTTTTACTTATTTGAAATATTCATCTTTTTGTTCTGAATTTTAATTTAACGTTCAGTTTTTGTAACTACAGTGGACCCCCGCTTAACGATCACCTCCAAATGCGACCAATTATGTAAGTGTATTTATGTAAGTGCGTTTGTACGTGTATGTTTGGGGGTCTGAAATGGACTAATCTAGTTCACAATATTCCTTATGGGAAAAAATTCGGTCAGTACTGGCACCTGAACATACTACTGGAATGAAAAAAGTTCGTTAACCGGGGGTCCACTGTACTGGAAAAATATTCAAATTATAGTCTTTTGCTTGCAAAGTTTTTATATAAACCAACCAACACCAGGAATACAGTCAACCTTCCATAAATCGCACTTTTAAAATTAGGGAGAAAAAAAAAAAAAACTAGCCAAATTGTACCTTTAACTCCTTTATGTTTATTCCAGTATACGTGTAAACTGTGTGTACACTCTTAAGTTTACAGTCGATTACTATTTTTACCATTATTCTAATTTGTTCGTTACATAATCGATACAGTAAACATTCAATATATGCACGTATGTACCGTATTTTGTGGCATATAAGACTTGTTTTAGTTTCAATAGCTTGGCATCAGACGTAACTGGGAGAGCTACAGCCCACCCCACACCCCAAACTTATAGCTCCCGTCACTGACCTTCAGTTTATAGGACGCAGGGTGGTTTTTGTAGACATTTTATGGAAAAAAAAAGTGTCTAAAAAGTTGCGGAATACGGTACGTATATTCACTTTAACTCCTAAATTTATATTTACAACCAGCTAACAGACTGTATATAAAAACACTCAATTAGTCAATGCCTTATTAATCTTAAGTTATTCTTAAGTTTGCCCAAAATGCTCTGCATAATAACCCTTAAACTGTCCAAACATAGATCTATGCTCACATGCGTAGTGGTCCGACCTTTATTTTCCCTATTTGAAAGCATGTAAAAAAAAAAAATGTAGATCTACGTTCGGAGCCCCTCGCACGTGAAAGCAGATCTATGTTTGGACAGTTTAAGAGTTAAGGGGTTTTCTGAATGTATATCTAAATGTCACTCACCCTTGTACAAACATCGTATATCTAATCTAATCTAATACAGTGGACCCCCGCTTAACGATCACCTCCAAATGCGACCAATTATGTAAGTGTATTTATGTAAGTGCGTTTGTACGTGTATGTTTGGGGGTCTGAAATGGACTAATCTACTTCACAATATTTCTTATGGGAAAAAATTCGGTCAGTACTGGCACCTGAACATACTACTGGAATGAAAAAAGTTCGTTAACCGGGGGTCCACTGTATATACATGTGTGTGTGTGTGTGTGTGTGTGTGTGTGTGTGTGTGTGTGTGTGTGTGTGTGTGTGTGTGTGTGTGTGTGTGTGTGTGTGTGTTTGTATGTGTTTGAATGAATGTATGTGTGTGTGTGTGTGTGTGTGTTTGTATGTGTTTGAATGAATGTATGTGTGTGTGCGTGTATATGTGTATGTGTGTTTGTATGTGTGCATGCGTGTGTGTGTGTGCACATGTGCTTCCTTGAGCATGCATGAGTACTTGTTCTGTTACAGCTCTCAGGGAAGTGTCAGGAAAAGCACTACCCTGCCTGAAATATTTTCCATAACAATGGACTTTTCTTAGAATCCTCAGTACAATATTTTCCTGAAACTGCGGACATACAAATTATAAAACCCATCCTGTGTAACCTCAATGTTTTCCAGTGAAACAAACATCTTCATCCTCTAGGTCAGCATCAGCATTAGAGTTAAGATGTAGTGAACAGCAGAATGTGTGAATGGCATTTATATTTAACCCTATCAGTAGAAGTCATACAGAACTGTCACTGAGGTCGGGATCCCTCGTGTGTAAATAACAGTCACAATACCATGACTGGAACAATATACAAATAACCCGCACATAGGAGAGAGGAGCTTATGACAACGTTTCGGTCCAACTTGGACCATTTACAAAGCCACTTTGTAAATGGCCCAAGTCGGACCGAAACCTCGTTGTAAGGTCCTTTCTCCTACGTGTAGGTTATTTGTGTATTATCCCTCATGCGAGTCGTCAAGAGTCTTGCTCACTCAAATAAATTACAAGTGATAAATTTTAGCACAGATATGAGAGTGGGTCTGCTCAGTGAGTGTGCACAGTATAAAAACAAAATCCTGCCCTACACGGTAAACGATTATAAAAGTAAAACCAACAATGCGTTTGGTTTCAAATATCAACTTTGAGTTTTTTTTATGATGGGTTTTATGGTTTTATTGGTGTTTCTTGGTATTAATTGATAGAATGGAGGTCATACTGCTGTAACAGATAATTTTCATTAATTTCAGGACCAGAAGAAGCTTGAAATTGGGCTCAAAGTAGCGGAACTATTCGGTTTTTGCCAATTTTGCTGAGGATGGTAAGGTTTCCCCATACCCATCCAGTCTGTTTTATGGGTATGATTCAATTAGTGGGATGTTGTCAACCATGACCAATCATTCCTGGTTATTATTATCCTGGAAACAGGAGAGGCTTGGGGACATTATAAATGAATGGAAGAAATGCTTTAGTGTCAGGAATGTCTTAAAAATTTCGTTTTGCATTATTTTTAAACTGGAATTTTTTTTTACCAAATTACTGACTTCTGTACATTTTATTGCATATTTATAATAGTTGAATGGGCAGTTTCTCGTGCTCAGCTGATAGAATGGAAGGCATACTAGCAAAATAGTTAAGAATTTGGTCGAGTGGAGCAATGAAATTTACTTAACCTTTTCACTGTCGGTGCCGTAACATTACGGCTTGCAAGCCAGTGTTGGTGCTGTAATATTACGCCAAAATTCTAGCGGCTTCAAATCTAACAGGAGAAAGGTAGTTAGAGAATGGGTCTGTGTGCTTAGTGCGTGCAGCATAAAAAAAAATCTGGGAAGCCACAGTGCATTGTGGGAGTGCCAATTCAGTACGTCTTGTTCACCATGCCTAGAGGTAGGGAATACAAATTGGAATTGGAACTCTTCTCTTCCCAAGTGATAATTCTAACACAGATGGCAGCATGGGTGGTGGGGAAGACAGCGTGGATGGTGGGGATGATGATGTGGGTGGTGGGGGAAGATGGTGTGGGTGGTGGGGAAGACAGTGTGGGTGGTGGAGAGACAGCATGGGTGGTGCATAAGACGGCGTAGATGGTGGAGAAAATGGCGCGGGTGGTGGGGAAGACAGTGTGGGTGGTGGGGAAGATGGAGTAGGTGGTGGGGAAGATGGCATGGGTGGTAGGGAAGACAGAGTAGGTGGTGGGGAAGATGGCATGGGTGAAGACAGCATGGGGGAAGATGTGGGTGGTGGAGAAGACGGCGTGGGTGATGGGGAAGACGGCGTGGGTGATGAGGAAGACAGTGTGGGTGGTGGGGAAGATGGCGTGGGTGGTGGGGAAGATGACGTGGGTGTTGAAAATGGCGTGGGTGGTGGGGAAGATGGTGTGGGTGGTGGGGAAGATGGTGTGGGTAGTGGGGAAGATGGTGTGGGTGGTAGGGAAGACGGCGTGGGTGGTGGGGACGATGGTGTGGGTCGTGGGGAAGATGGTGTGGGTGGTAGGGAAGATGGTGTGGGTGGTGGGGAAGACAGCATGGGTGGTGGTGAAGACAGCATGGGTGGTGCAAAAGACGGCATAGATGGTGGGGAAGATGGCATGGGTGGTGGGGAAGACGGTGTGGGTGGTGGGGAAGACAGCGTGGGTGGTGGAGAAGACAGCATGGGTGGTGCAAAAGATGGCATAGATGGTGGGGAAGATGGTGCTGGTGGTGGGGAAGATGGTGTGGGTGGTGGGGAAGATGGAGTAGGTGGTAGGGAAGATGGCGTGGGTGGTGGGGAAGACGGCGTGGGTGGTGAGGAAGACAGCATGGGTGGTGGGGAAGACAGTGTGGGTGGTGGGGAAGATGGCATGGGTGATGGGGAAGATGGTGTGGGTGGTGGGGAAGATGGGGCGGGTAGTGGGGACGATGGTGTGGGTGGTAGGGAAGATAGTGTGGGTGGTGGGGAAGATAATATGGGTGGTGGGGAAGATGGTGTGGGTGGTGGGGAGGACAGCGTGGATGGTGGGGAAGATGGCATGGATGGTGGGGAAGATGGCATGGGTGGTGGGGAAGACTCAGAAAAATATTCTTAAGATTTTGGTAGGAAAAAAATCATTTTTTTTTTTTAATATTTTTCAACACTGAGAGCAAGTTTGTGATCATGGGTCTTGACAGTGAAAGAATTAACCCTTAAACTGTCCAAACATCGATCTATGTTTTTTTAACATAAGAAAGCATGTAAAATTGAACGTAGACCTACGTTCGGAGTGCTACGCATGAGAACACAGGTCTACGTTTGGACAGTTTAAGGGTTAAAATAGGACTCAAAGGCAATGAAATAGCCGATGCATAAATTGCGCCCAGACCGCTAACTTTGTGCTTGAATAATTCCATAAATTCTGTACTTTTGGTGCTATTGCCTTCAGAAAAATATTCTCTACGATTTCAGAAAAAAATAATTAAAAAAAAATCAGCTTACAGTGAGAGCAATATTAACTTTGGGGATCTGGACAATGAAGGGGGTTAATAATAATAACTTATTTTGTTATTCTTGAGTACCTGTTCTTTCAAGAAATTCACAGACCTGAATGAGGGCACTGAGTTTTCCCTATACGTATTTTTTTTAAGCACACCAGCCGTCTCGCACCAAGGCAGGACGATCTGAAATAAAAAGAGGAATCACATTCACTGTGTTAGGTAAAAGAACACAAGCGGAACTAATGTGACATTTTGGCAACGTTTCACTCTCTAGGAACTTTATCAAGCCATTAACAGCTTGACACAGCTCCTGGAGAGTGAAACGTTACCAAAATAAAATGTCGCATTAGTTGCACTCATGTCCTTTTACCTAACATATTGTCAGTAATTCTACTAACATTATTCCGCATTCACTGTCATTCATGCAATTGCTGTCCTGCCAGAAGCATGCTGACATCACAGTTAAGATGAGCCTCCACACTGCAACATCCTCAGCCATCCTTCAGAGTACAGGCACTGTACTTCCCACCTCCACCCATCCTCCAGAGTGCAGGTACTGTACTTCCCACCTCCACCCATCCTCCAGAGTGCAGGTACTGTACTTCCCACCTCCACCCATCATTCAGAGTGCAGGTACTGTACTTCCCACCTCCACCCATCATTCAGAGTGCAGGTACTGTACTTCCCACCTCCACCCATCATTCAGAGTGCAGGTACTGTACTTCCCACCTCCACCCCATCCTCCAGAGTGCAGGTACTGTACTCCCCACCTCCACCCATCGTTCAGAGTGCTGGCACTGTACCTCCCACCACCCCCACCCCTCCTTCAGAGAGCAGGTACTGTACTTCCCACCTCCACTCTAAAGTGGCCTGAGTTCCATGGAGCAGTAATGCCTAAGTGCTATGCCCGAAGTGGAGGTGTACACCTACAAGAAGACCTGGATAGAGCAAACAGAATAAGAGATGGATGCTGGAATGTAATGTGAATAAATGCCATGTAATAGAGATTGAAATAATTGAAATCTGGCCACAGAGTACGTATAATAAAAAAACATGTACCTAACAGTATGGGTCATACAGACTGAGGAAAATAACTTGTCTAATAAATCACTAAAGGCACTGGTTCATTTTTATTTCGTGGGTAGCACTGATCTTACTGGGGTCACTGATTAGAAATAATGTATTACATTCATGAGGGAGCTCTGAACCCGGAGGGGTCATACAGCACCTTGGGAAAAGGGAGGCATTCAAGTTTCACTCACAGGAAAGAGAGTGAAGCTCTAAATTGTCAAAATCAAGAGCCCTCGATCAGCATCAAGGCACCTGCCTCGATACCTTGATGTCACAATAATATGTAAATAATATAATCTTATTCTTATTATCCACATATCCATCTCAATGTCATTAAAATATGTATACATTATAACCTAATTCTTAATATCTGTAATCTTCTCAACCTTTATTAAAACACTGTATATTTACAATCACCTAAGAGATTGTATATGTAAAAACCGCTAGTCATTGCCTTATTAATCTTAAGTTAGGCGTAAGTTTGCCCAAAATGCTCAGCATATTAAGGGTCTTTCTACATGCACACCTAAATGTTATTCACGTTTGCACAAACATCGTATCATGCTGAAATAAAGTACAGCCTCTTCTCACTTAGCGATGTACGTACTTGTTTACCATCGACTCGGACTTACGACAGGCTGTATATCAGAGCTGATTTCCTCTATTCTGTTTATTACAATATACAGTACACTACTGTATAAACATTTAAAAAAACATAACAGAAATGTTATAAATGGTGCAAAGGTGACATGAAAACAATATCAAAGATCGTTGCCACAAACCCACTACCATTATAGTATGCTCCTCACTTAGCGACGAATTTGTTTCCCAACGTGGTCTTAGGAACGGAACTCTGTCAATAAGTGGGGAGAGGTTGTGTTTATCTTGATCTTAAGAATACAGAACTATTACTGTATTGTAAACAGCTTAAAATACAGTGGACCCCCGCATAACGATCACCTCTGAATGCGACCAATTATGTAAGTGCATTTGTACGTGTATGTTTGGGGGTCTGAAATGGACTAATCTACTTCACAATATTCCTTATGGGAACAAATTCGGTCAGTACTGGCACCTGAACATACTTCTGGAGAGAAAAAATATCGTTAACCGGGGGTCCACTGTATTGTCCTGCCACTTTCAACATGTCAATGTATTAAAAAAGAGTCAACTGATTGAAACAATTTAGTGTTTCTTTCTCCTCCTGTCTCAAATGTCATTCAATTTCTTTGTAATTAAAATTTATTAGAATTATTTTTTCTTGATACCATGAATGTATAATCAACTATTGAAGCAACTCCCCCAAATACAGTGGAACCTCGTTTTTCAGCTGCTGCGTTTATCGGCTGATTCATATTTAGGCTGTTTTTTTGCCAGAAACATTGCTCTGTATTTTGGCCGTTGCCTCGTATATCGGCTGTATTAGACACGTCAGCCCATAGGTGAGTCAGTCTCCCTTTGTCTGTCGGTGAGTGAGCATATACATGTACTCAACGCATTCATCCAAACATTTCCTTAAAATCCATTGTTTTTGGTGTTTTTTTATTAAGTGCGACTGTGAAATAAGTCACCATAGGCCTCAAGAAAGTTCCTACTAAAGTTTCTTTGATAAAGAAAGTGAGAAACACAATGGAATTTAAGAAGGACGTAATAGAAAAACATGAGAGTGGTGTTCGGGTGCTGGAACTTGCCAGGATGTACGGCAAAAACAAATCAACAATCACTTCTATCCTGGCAAAGAAAGAACAAATCAAGGAAGCTGATGTGGCTTGTTTATTAAGTGTGACTGTGAAATAAGCCACCATGGGCAGGGAGTGTAGCAGGCATGCAGAGAGTGTAGCATGGAGGGAGGGAGTGTAGCAGGCATGCAGAGAATGTAGCATGGAGGGAGGGAGTGTAGCAGACATGCAGAGAATGTAGCATGGAGGGAGGGAGTGTAACAGGCATGCAGAGAGTGTAGCATGGAGGGAGGGAGTGTAGCAGACATGCAGAGAGTGTAGCATGGAGGGAGGGAGTGTAGCAGGCATGCAGAGAGTGTAGCATGGAGGGAGGGAGTGTAGCAGGCATGCAGAGTGTAGCATGGAGGGAGGGAGTGTAGCAGGCATGCAGAGAGTGTAGCATGGAGGGAGGGAGTGTAGCAGGCATGCAGAGAGTGTAGCATGGAGGGAGGGAGTGTAGCAGACATGCAGGGTGTAGCATGGAGGGAGTGTAGCAGACATGCAGAGAGTGTAATATGGAGGGAGGGAGTGTAGCAGACATGCAGGGAGTGTAGCATGAAGGGAGGGAGTTTAGCAGGCATGCAGAGAGTGTAGCATGGAGGGAGGGAGTGTAGCAGGCATGCAGAGAGTATAGCATGGAGGGAGGGAGTGTAGCAGGCATGCAGAGAGTGTAGCATGGAGGGAGGGAGTGTAGCAGGCATGCAGAGAGTGTAGCATGGAGGGAGGGAGTGTAGCAGGCATGCAGAGAGTGTAGCATGGAGGGAGGGAGTGTAGTAGACATGCAGAGAGTGTAATATGGACGGAGGGAGTGTAGCAGACATGCAGGGAGTGTAGCATGGAGGGAGGGAGTGTAGCAGGCATGCAGAGTGTAGCATGGAGGGAGTGTAGCAGACATGCAGAGAGTGTAGCAGACATGCAGAGAGTGTAGCAGGCATGCAGGGAGTGTAGCATAGAGGGAGAGAGTATAGCAGGCATGCAGGGAGTGTAGCATGGAGGAAGGGAGTGTAGCAGGTATGCAGGGAGTGTAGCATGGAGGGAAGGAGTGTAGCAGGCATGCAGGAAGTGTAGCATGGAGGGAGGGAGTGTAGCAGGCATGCAGGGAGTGTAGCATGGAGGGAAGGAGTGTAGCAGGCATGCAGGGAGTGTAGCATGGAGAGAGGGAGTGTAGCATGGAGGGAGGGAGTGTAGCATGGAGAGAGGGAGTGTAGCATGGAGGGAGGGAGTGTAGCATGGAGGGAGGGAGTGTAGCAGGCATGCAGGGAGTGTAGCATGGAGGGAGGGAGAGTAGCATGGAGGGAGGGAGTGTAGCAGGGAAACAGGAAGTGTGGGAGGGAGGCAGGGAGTGTAGGAGGAAGGCAGGGAGTGTAGGAGGAAGGCAGGGAGCGTAGGAGAAAGGCAGGGAGTGTAGGAGGAAGGCAGGGAGTGTAGGAAGAAGGCAGGGAGTGTAGCAGGCATGGAGGGAGTGTAGCATGGAGGGTGTGTAGCTGGGAGTGTAGTAGGGAGGCAGGGTGTAGCAGGGTGTGTAGGAGGAAGGCAGGGAGTGTAGCAGGCAGGGAGTGTAGCAGGCAGGGAGTGTAGCAGGCAGGGAGGGAGTGTAGCAGGCATGGAGGGAGTGTAGCATGGAGGGTGTGTAGCTGGGAGGCAGGGAGTGTAGCTGGGAGTATAGTAGGGAGGCAGGGTGTAGCAGGGAGTGTTAGGAGGAATGCAGGGAGTGTTAGGAGGAATGCAGGGAGTGTAGCAGGCATGCACAGAGTGTAGCATGGAGAGAGTGTAGCTGGGAGGCAGGGAGTGTAGCTGGGAGTGTAGTAGGGAGGCAGGGTGTAGCAGGGAGTGTAGGAGGAAGGCAGGGAGTGTAGCAGGCAGGGAGAGAAGTAACCCCAGAGAGGACTTTGATACCTGAAGTCCTTATGGAGGGGGATTTCCCTTCCAGACAATAATCAGTCCTCCCTCTCTCCTTACTGTCTTCCATAAGCCAATAAATCTTCAATAAAGGTATTTAATAGTGATTTAAATGTTCATTTATTTATTTTATTTAATTCTCATTGTTTTGTGTATGGCTGGCTGGCCGGCGGCTGACTGGCCAGTTGGCTAGTTGATTGGCTGTCTCTATCTCCGCCTGTCTGTCTGTATCTGTCTCTATCTCACAGGTACACATAAATGCAATTATACATAGTGTAAATTACCTAGGATAACCCAAAAAATCCAGACAAAGTGCTATACTGTGCTTGTAGATATAATGCATAATAAGCATAACTGGTAAGTAATATACATATTCACTTGTTCAGGAATCAGACGTGACGACTCTGCATCTCTGCAGACAGAAA